CTAAATATTTAAGGATACCCAAAATCATTGCTGTAATATATCTAATGACATCTATTAGACCTCCCCAAAATGCCCAAAATGTATTAAAATGCCAATCCACAAATTGCAGTGGCAATGTCTATGTTTAATGACTATGTACTATAATAATGAATATTTTACACATGAAAATCATTTATCTGTTCATGAAATGGTACCTATAAATATAATTATATAATAAGTCTATTGTTTTTTTTGCTAGGATGAAAAGAACCAAGTTCTCACAACATACATATGGTATAGACAGGTACAGTCCAATGCTTAAATATAAAGTATTAAAATAGAACCTGTTATAAATAACTTTTTATGCCTTTTTATGGAGCCATGCGGATATGCAAATTATCAGAAACCTACAAAAAACCAGAAACCTACAAAAAAAGTTAATGGTGCCTGCCCCCACTCTATGGTCATTATGAGTCAACCATGCTGTGTTTGTGACAACCTCTAACACCACATCATAATAGCTGACAAAAGAAACACAGAAAGGAAGTTTTTCCTGGTTTATGGGACCTGACTCTTTTTTGGTTCTTATTTAGACCTGCTTAGGTGGAGGAATGGCCTTACAAAGATCCACAAACTTGTAAGACCATTAGAACCCAGAGGATCAAATAAATATTATTTATTAAATGAAGGGTTGTTTTTTTTCTAAAATCACGCTGGAATTAAGTGACGTAGCTACATAGGGGTCTATTCACGAAGCTGCCGAAGGATCTGGCCGTAGCTTCGGCCGATCCTTTGAATTTAATAAAAACACAGGTCTATCGAGTTCAACCTATGTGAGCGTGTGCGTGTGTGTGTGGTCAGTTTGCTGGTCGGGTTGGGTACAAACGTTGCTTACCAGAATTTCCTTTTTAATTCAGGGTGTTAAAACACATACAGCAATTTTATTTATTTATTTTGTTGTAGAGAGATCTAACTATCCTAAAGATGCTATGCTAATCTACTAACTACTAAATCTAATGAGAAATGGATCATTTTAGGGGGTTATTCACATAGCTGTCGAGGGATCTAGCCATAGCTTTGGCTGATCCTTCGGCTAGCTTCGGCCCGAGGACCCCTTCGCTTCAGTAGAACTGATGGGCTGGTGTACGGGCTATTCACTATAGCCCGTACAGCTCCCGAAGTTGGCCGAGCGGCTCAGTCGAGTCGAAGGCATATGCTTCGGCTGGACTGAGCCCAGGTGAAAGTGGAAGCTGGCCGAACGGCAAGCCATTGGCCAGCTGACAGCCTGCTACTGACAGCTGGGCGAAGCCAGCCGTCGTCTCACGGCTGGCTCCGGCCACTTGCAGAGACAGATCAGGTAACCAGGGACGCCCATCTGTCATTACGATGAGAGCTTAGCAGAGCCGGCGGGGATATGAAAGCAGACTCTGCTGAGCTCTCATCCTAATGACAGAACAGTGTCCTCTGGTTACTAGATAACCAGAGGACACTGTTCTGTTATTAGGATGAGAGCTTAGCAGAGCCGGCTTTCATATCCCCGCCGGCTCCGACAAGCTCTCATTTTAAAGCTGGTCCCGGCCAATAGAAAACAGTTGTGCGGAGCTAGCTGTCACTGCTAGCTCCACCCAATAGGTTTCTATTTTTTTCCCCACTTTTTTTGACTGTTTTTCTATTCTGCTCGGTACCACAGAGGTACCGAGCAGAATAGCCCAGCCGAATGCCGATCAGCGGTATTTGGCTATAATCACTAACTGCTGTTCGGCATCTATGAGAATAGGCCAAACAGCAGCGAGTAGCCTGCCAGAGGTTCGGCTCAGTTGATCCAGATGTTGGATCAGCTGAGTCGAACTCCTTCTGTACTTGGGGTCGGCCAAACATCCTGAGCATGTTCGGCCGACCCAAAGCCACCTGATGTAAGGCTGATTTCAGCCGATATACGGCTGAAATCAGCTGTACAACCCTGCAGTGAATAGCCGAACAGCATTCAGCTCACTTCACTTCAGGTCGGTTATTCGCTTGGCAGCCTACGGCAGCTTTGTTTGCAGAGTATGCTACGTTTTCTAATATGATTGCCCAGAACTGTCTTTACATGTTAATCCACAGTTAAGATGTTGTCTTTGTGAGCAGAAGAGGAGGCAAGTATCCCTTCTTTGACTTGCTTACTCATCTCTTTCCTTAGTACAACAGCTGCTTTCTGAGACATTCGCTGCTACCTAGACTTACCTAGATTCCCTTCTTTGCTCAAATTACTTAGCAGGAACTCTCCAAAGCCATCTTACTATGACAGTTATTAAATGTTGACTATTTATATTATCTAACAAAAATATTCAAGACATTTGAACCTATGTAACAGAAATCTTTTAACATTTTAATTGATAAATATATTTACTAACATTTTCTGCAACAGAATAGTAATTAGATTTTTGTTTAGTTTTGGATAGATGAGTTTCTCACTTGGGACCCCAAGGAGTATGAAAATCTATCTCAAATATCCATTCCTACGGAGAAGATCTGGGTCCCAGACATTCTAATCAATGAGTTGTAAGTAACAGCGTGCTTTAGAAAGCATTACATCTACATCACAATCAATGCATAAACATTATATTATGAACTGGCTGAACTGTTCTTAAAATATTAGATGTAAATGTGAACAAAATCTGCCACTCAGCCTCCTTAGAAAACAACACAACAAAAAATGTGTTTAATTTGTAAAACAATCAAATAACATTGTAAGCATGCCGTTATGAATCATGTTAGAATTAAAATGTGTTTGACATCATTCTGCTTAACAATATCCCTCAGGGTATGAACCTTCCTTATTCCATTTCAAAATGACAAGAATAAAACAAATATCGCTGTTTGCTTTGCTGCTAATTTTTCTTTTTTTTATTTCAGTTTTTAATCCTTCCTTTAAGTGCCTTTTTTAGTTATTGTGTTTTCATTCAGTGATAATTCTGGGAATGGGTATTTTTAGACTCTACTGTCACAGCTTATGGCAAAAAATACTCGTACTTTTAAAGACCATTATTACATTAAATAGTAATAAAAAATGGAGCGAAAGCAAAAGTAATACCTATCTGTGTGCAGATTACCATACAACGTTTCTTTGGTCTCCCTTCAGTGTGGATGTTGGGAAATCTCCAGATATCCCTTATGTCTATGTCAACCATGAAGGAAGAGTTCTGAATTATAAACCTATTCAAGTAGTGACTGCCTGTAGCCTTAATATCTACAATTTCCCTTTTGACCTTCAAAACTGCTCATTGACATTCACCAGCTGGCTTCACACAAGTAAGTTTTATTTCTTTAATATCTTCCTATGGCTTTTTTTCTGCAATTTCTATTGTTATTATGTGCACCATGCTATTACGCATATCTACATTCAATGGTCTTTTTTTTTTATCATTGCTGTCTTTCGTGTTTTTCATTCTGACTGCTGTTTAGATACTCTTTGGCAAAAAGAGGATGTGAAAGAGGATGTGTTATATTTACATTTATAGAGGGAGGTGAGTGGAATCTTCACTCTCTAGAAGAGCTCTAACCGCCACTGCTGACACGTCCTAGTGTGTCTAATACCATGTCCAACACTGGTTTCTGTAGTTATTGCTATCAGCTGCTACATCATTACAGAACACAATAGTGACATAGCAACTGACAGGAGGTACTACTGCACCCAGCGGGGGATAAGTTATCAGACACCTGGAAGTGTCAGCAGCAAAGTTTGTAGCTCTTCAAGAGAGTAAAAATTATGTTCACTGTCCATCAGAAATGTAAGTATAACATGTCTTTTCTTACAGGGTGTCTTTGCTTTATCTTTTTTAAATTTTGGCAATGGGATCTCCTTAGGGCTGCGTCCACAGGGTACGAATTAGGAGAAGAGATCCCACTCTCTGATGAGGACCCTGTCTTATCCTGTATAGCCTACTGCAGAATGGCAGCAGGTGCCTACGAGGTATTGCACAAAATTAATCTACAACATTGCAGGCTGAGTTGGGGAGAAAAGTGGGAGGAGCTCCATGAAGCCTTGTGATTTAATTGTGCAAGAGAGATATGTATAGTGTCCTTTGTAGCCAGATCAAAAGGCCAAGCTCTAATTCATTCATCTCCTAAACTCAACACTTGACGCTAACTATAACATAACCTTTCCCTGCTGTCTGGGTAGCTCATTGTAATACACCACTGTAGCTAACATAAATTTTTCCAATGCTGCTTTAAAATGGCGACATGGTTAGAGTCATCAACTATTCCTGCATTATTTATCTGCTTCTTATAAAGACATAAGATTTTCTTTCAGTTGTAATGGATTGATTGTTACATTGTTCATTGAGAGAAATAGCTAATTTGCCTTATCTTTGTATTGATCCTTTACACATGAATAGAAGAAAAACTAGAGCATATTTAAATAATCACACATATTGAGGTATGGAAACATTTACATGAAAGTCATTATTGACAAGACATTCCGGTTGCTTGCAGTTCCATGTATTCATTATTGTATTTCATGCGCAGTTTCCTTTATTATAGAACATGATTAGTATCCCCTGTCAAATTACTTGATATTCTTTGTCCTAAGTAATAAAGTTCTCCGAAACATACATTACTGTATATGCATATCTGACTTATATATGAGAAATTCTGTACTTGCATCATGTGTTATTTCTCTCTTTTTAATACATCTCAGGATGTAATTTGCTTTTGTAGCCACTGTTTGACATTGAGTGCTCCTGCTTAGCTTACCACTAACCAGCATTCTCAAGTCCTTCTTCGTTTTAGAAACTAAAAGTTATTTCCATTGTTTAGTGGCATAACAATACATTTATCAATATTCAATTTAATCTGCTCGTTAACTGTCAATATTGCCATTTTATTTATTGCCAAGGTCTTTCTGTAAGGCCTCATTCACACTGCCGTACAATACACTGCGTATTTTCCCATATGCAGCATATGCAAATAAATGGCTCCATACATGGCTGTGTATGGAGCCGTATATTTGCGCTGCGTAAAGATGCGCAAAAAAAATGGAACGGAGATGAGTCCGGGCTCAAAATTTGTGAGTATTTTACATGCACATATACGAGTATGTGCACGCTTAGAAGCACGTACGTGCATACGGTACATTAAAATTTCGATTAAAATTGATGCATTCTGGGATTGCATACAGTCCATGCACATACGCGCATACAAATGCCAGTGGACGGGGCAGAGCTAGCTGTCTCTGATTCAGCGTCCTGTTACCACAACAGTGACAACAGCGGTGCACGCTCTCTTCATCCACATGTTGGTGATGTGATTATGTAAGTTCTTTTTTTAATCCTTTTGGCGGGAATTGTAATCACAAGGGTGGGAGGTTCTGCTGTTTCTTCTCACTTTGTTTGCCTATTTAAGTGGTGTGGCTCATGTGATACTTTGTCTTTCTGAGCCTGATGAAAGGGACCCTGTGAGGCCCCGAAAACGTTTGCATTTGAATGACAAGTGTGTGTCATTAAATTGTTTTTTTAACGTTTAAATGGTGTGCTGGGACGTTTCTGGACTCTATGTGACATTCGCCACCCGTGGTCATTTTAAGCACCCACCTGATCTTACAGGTTTATTCTTTGGAACCGGTAAGGAGTGTAACAGGACATATCTATACTTTACATATGCGCTATCCTGCTGAGCTGTAAAAATTCTACATAATGTTGTGTCATCGGTAGAAATACCAACTTTAATTTAAATGTAACCCATTAGGTCATTAAACACATAGCTAAAAATAGCAAGATGTAATACTGATTCTTGTGTTACATCACAGGTTTTTTAATTCTATTTTGAACATGTTCCGTTTGCAGCTGCCTATTGTCTTCAGAACATTAATTTGTTCTTTACTCATGTTTAGACATTCTGCACTGGATTTTATTAAGAATAATTACAGCATATTTTCAGTTTCACATATTTCCTTTTCTAACAATAGAAGGAAAGAAAAGTTGTTGTTTTTTTAGCCACCAATTGACAAGTACCAATAAACTTCGAAAACAACAGTTTATATATAAAAACATTTGTTTAATTAGGTCCAAAAAGTAAAAAGCATCAGTGAATGCATAAGAATATAAAACCAATATTAATACTGAGGAGTGCCAATCAATCTTACCCCCTCAGTGTGAATCAACAGGTGTACATGCACAGACCAGGCTTTTTATGGTACAATATTCCCTCTCTCATACATTTCCCACATGTGTGTGATCTATCTTAATCTTGAATCTTACTATAACAGCCCGTGACTGGCCAATTCTATCCTCCTTCAACCTGGGAAGACGTGCCCCCCCGTGTCTGCCTGGTTTGTGCATGTGCACCTGTTGATTCACACTGAGGGGGTAAGATTGATTGGCATTCCTCAGTGTTAATATTGTATTATTGAATGTGTTTAAAGTTTGAGTACTTATATTTGTTCTTTGTTATGATCTTCAGACCACCTTCTCCTGATGAAGCGCCCTGTGGCACGCTTAGAGTAATGCGAGTACTGCTTTTCCACTGAATATTGCAAGTACTGCATCATCACCCACCATTGTCTGTTCCATTAGAGGTGTTGTTACCAATTGTATATGGATGCATTTTCCTTATGAATTGTTTTGTTTTATATATGCTATTATATACCATCATGTTTCTAGATTTTTGATCATGCAATACAGCCTCTAAATTGGAACTCAGGGGGGTGCTAGGAGGTTCTCTCCAAGTTTGTGTATTTTGAGCAGAGCAGAGCAATGCAAGTACTGCATTCCCACTGAGTATTGCAAGTACTGCTTTATCACTCACCACTGTTTGTTCCATTAGAGGCTTTGTGATTATTTATATATGCATCAATTTTTCCTTATGAAATAGTTTTTTTCTATATATACTATCATTAATCAATCATGTTTCCAGATTTCTGATCATGCAATATAGCCTCTCAACTGGAACTCAGGGGGTGTTAGGAGGCTCTCTCTAAATTTGTATGTTTTGGTTTTATATTCTTATGCATTCACTGATGCTTTTTACTTTTTGTACCTAATTAAACAAATATTTGTATATATAAACTGTTGTTCGAAGTTTATTGGTACTTGTCAATTGGTGCCTAAAACCCCCCCCCGACTTTTCTTTCCTTCTATTGTTACCTAATTAGTGGTTGGCACCTAGATGTTCAGGATCTGTGCACCATAACCATTGTTCATATATTTCCTTTTCTAGTTCAGGACATCAATGTATCATTATGGAGGACACCAGAAGAAGTGAAAGAGGACAAAAGTGTTTTCATGAACAAAGGAGAGTGGGAGCTTCTTTATGTATTACCCCAATATAGAAAGTTTGTGGCAAATGAAGACAGTTTTGCAGAAATGAAATTTCATGTGAGTTGTGGACAGGGATTTTTCTTTATGCCTTTATTGTAACCAAGTAGGTTGATGTCTAGAAAAAAAAATAACTTAGAAATGTGGAATAGCTGTTGTAATGCACTTTTTAGTGTTTAGTGTAACCTAAAGTATGTGTAAATCCATGTGCAAAAATGTAATACTTTGCATCTTACCAGTCCTTTGATGTGGTAACTGCATTCATTTTCTTTTCTCTAAGATTTTTATTATTTTTATCTGATTATTCTGTCAGCAACATACAGTACTTCTTGTCTTAGTGTGACAAAACTCGCTGTTCTGTATCTATAGAGAAGCAGCGTTGGCACCATAGCACAGGACTACAAACACCTCCCTCTTTCTTCTACTGCATAGCTTAGAGGGGAAATGTTCTGTAGTCTTCAGAAATAGCTGGGAAGAATGCTAATTGATAAAAATGCAGCACAGGCAGTTATCAGCTGACAAGATCTCTGGCAGGATTAACAGGCATTTTTGCATATATCGAAAACATATGCCAAAACATTTTTAATAGTATATTTAACAGCTCAAAATGGAACAAATAAGAACGGTTCATTGTTAGGGTTTACATTCACTTTAAACATAGAAAATGGGAGAAGCCTCCAGTTGTTCTATCAATACTCATTGATACTCATTCAAGCAACTGTTGTGCTACATAAAGCTGTAACTAAGGGGTCTATTCACAAAGCTGCCGAGGGCAGCCGAGTGAATGACCGATCAGAAGTGAAGTGAGCCGAAAACTGTTCGGCTATTCACTTCTGGCTGGTACGGCTGATTTCAGCCGTACATCGGCTGAAATCAGCCGTACATCGGCTTTATTCGCGTGGCTTCGGATCAGCCGAACATGCTCAGCATGTTCGGCTGACCCGAAGTGCAGAAGGAGTTTGACTCAGCCGATCCAACATCTGGGTCGG